GTGATTATCTGAGCATGTTTCCCTTGATATACTTGCCAACTTTCACAGGTATAGCAGTGAAATTATACCTGGGGATTGAGCACCTGTATACTTTTAGAACAGGTAACCTTGAAGCCCGATGTCTCCTGACAGTTCTTGTGATAGGGACTGTTAGGAAATTTAATTTTTTTAATTGTATTCATTTAGTATTTATTGCTCTGCAGACATATAGGTCCACAGGAAGCTGACACAAGGCATGCTGCTACTCCTACTTTGTGTTGATACTGTGCAAGTCATTTGTGGGATGGACAGCTATGGCTTCCTTGTCCATTCTCCGTGGTCATTCCTGTAACTCATGCTTCCATAACACTAACAGGAGTAGATTGAAGGGACAATATATTGTGGATATCCTAAATATTGCTCACCCTCCCTCTGCTTAAATTAATTAAATAGGATAGGGGTTAAAATGCTGTATTTATTATTATTTTTTAAAATATATATTTTTTTCTGCCCAGCATGAAAATAGTCTCACTATTAACAACCTGTTTGTAAGCTTGAAAACTGATGTACGATCAAGTATATAACACTTTAAGTATCACACTGAGCATTCTGGTTGAGGGGTTTAGTTGAGAATGTTTGAAATACAAACATACACACATATGGGAATTTCCATTAGTACACTCATCTCTGACTTATAAGAACATCTAGCATATAATTAGCTATTGCTTCTAGGTCATAAACCTTGCAGTGGTAATAGATTAAAAAGCAAAACGTTTTATGAGGAGTTATGCTTTCTGAACTACAGTATTTTGTGATACTGTGTGCTGTGATATGCGATTACACTAAAAACAAACAAACATAAAAATGGTTCCATGGGTCTGTGCCCAAGACAATAACTTGGTTTGCCTCAATGTAGTACTTTGTATGGGAGTAAGTCATAAACAATAAAAAAAAATTCCCAGACATATATTTGTCATCGAGCCTTATGGGTTAACTTGCCCATAGTTATGTAATGTACCAGGTTTATGGTGGGAACTGCACAATTGTATGGTTCCCCTTCATATGAAGAACCATGGTGACTGCTTGTTAACTTTGTTTATACCTGCATCTAACAATTTGGTTAGGCATCTGACTTATAAAGAGCCAGAAATACAACTTTTTTTGTACAGGGCTATTCTGACTTACTAAAGGGTAGAACCCTGTTGGGGGATCCATATTGGCTGCTGGACCAGTTGAAACTTAGGGCTCTCTTCACTGGTGCCTTATGGTGGCAGGAGAAGTTCATGAGAGCTGCCCAGGTTGTCTTGATAAAGTTATATGCTACATAATGAAGCATGTAGATGGTTCAGATATTGTCCCTTTGGCATGTGCTGAGATAAGGCACTGCTTGTGAATTGTTGGATGCACAGGGGAGAATAACATTTGCTGCTTTTTCCTTCTTGAACTCCAGGAAATCGGTTTCAAATGAAATGTGAGGACACTGCTTTTTAAATTAATCCCAAATTGAAGATTAAAAGTAGTAAAGAATATTTTAAAAATAAATATGGCATAACGTGAAAATTGCAAATGCAAGAAGGTGTGTATGTACTATTAATTAGAAGAATAAAAATCACAAAATTAGATTATAATACACACATAATATTTACACACAGAGAACACTACCACACACAGAGTACACTGACACACACATTTATACAAAGATGACACTGAGGCACACATTCACACACAGAGGAAGCTGACACATACACACATTCACTGACAGACACACGCACAGCTACACACAGAGGACACTGACACACAGATTTAGAAACAAAGGATACTGGCACACACTTACACACAAGGGACACTGACACACAGAGTTACACACAGGGGACACTGACACACTCTCACTGACAAACACATTCTTAATGATTTGACATACACCAACAGACACGCTTAACGGCACACACACATTCCCTGATAGACACACTCACTGATTTGACACACACTGACAGAAATTCACTCAGAGACACACATTCACTGACATACACACACTGATTTGACACACACTAACAGACACACTCACTGATTTGACACACAACAACAGACATACACACACACACACACAAACACACTCACTCTCACTGCCAGACACATACACATTCTCTCATACACACACGCAAATTATTATTATTTGTTTAATTATTTTTATCGACCTAGCCTCCTAACTTTTGGGAGAGCTGGAGCGGATCCGTTCCCTGGGGGCCAGCATGGGGATTGTGTGCTCTTCCAGAACTGCTCCCTTACATGCTGTTTAACAATGCTGAGGCTGGAGTGATATCATAACCTGGCTCTCGGCATCACACAGCTCCCTTGACGCCTCTACCTCCATTCTTGGACACTGTATTTAGACAAAGTATGCACCTGCCTTCAAGGTAAACAGGTGCATATTCTGCCTTAGTGCACAGCCGGCCCAACTAAGTTGGCCAGCTCTTGGTATTTGAGTACCACCATTTGAGAAACCAGGATCTAAAGAGGTAGATTTGGTTGCACACAAAATTATACAATGAAGCTAGTGAAAAATAGAACTCAGCAAAAACGATATCAGTCGATGATGAGTATATGTGGCAGTAATGCTTTATGAAACAGTGAGTTGAGTTTGAGCAAAACCAAGAAGAATTGCAAAAAGAAGCAAATGCTGCATTACATGGCAAAAGAAATGCAGAAGGAATAGGAAGAAGAATGAGAGGCCAGAGATGGGAAGCAGCTATTCATAATTGGGGAAGCAAACGTGATCTTTCTTTAAAATCTAAACACCTAAAGAAGGTCTGAATTTTAGCATTTAACTAATGAAAAGTGAAAGAGGTATGCAAAGCTACATGGTTAGACAGGCAACATTTATTTATTTTGTAAAGTTTTACATCATTTTAAAGAGTTGCTGGCTAAAGAGTATGCTAGAAAACAACATAGAATAAACATTTTTGACACAGTACAGATACAGATAATTTGGGGAAATTTTAACAATTTAAAAAAAACGATACAATCAACTGGGTAATAACCATAAATGTGTTTTTAGTTTGAAAAGGCCAAATTAAATACCCAGTTTATATTGATATTTTGACTGGCATGTCAGTGGTGTGTCAGAGAGACACAGTGGTCTATTTTCATATGATAATAATAAAAAAAGGATTTTGATTTCAAGAGTACTGTACATAGATTTATAGTCACTGTTGGAATTGATCAGAGAGTATGTGTAGAAGCAGAGCAGAATAGGAGTTGTACATTTAATGATTGTAAACGTTTGCAATATAACCAGTTTATTGTTCTGGGTAATTCTAGTTCTTGCATATTCTTTGGAAGTCTATAAAAATGTCTGGGCATGACACGATTCAGCTGTATGAATTACTCAGAAAAATAGAGGAGTGCACAAAAATATGTTGTAGGGTCCAAGGAAGTGGCTCTTTGGCTGCATCTTATTCTATTATATTGGCAGTTTCACGGTAGTCAATTTAAAATCAATAATTTTAGAATACCTTGCACAGTTTTTACAGGGCATTTAGCAAATCTTTTATTTGACCACATAATTGTAGATTTGAACGTGGATAGTGATTTGCTTGTCTGTGTGCAGATTCACTCACTGTGTGTTAGTAAGGAATTGGCTACAATCCTACATGTGGTTAGACAAGTCATCAAAAATGTGGAAATGCCAATGAAGTTAGAAAGATTGGCCCATTGCCTCACACAATATCTAAACAAGCATTGGAGATTTAAGGGAAGCATTTTAATATCAATTGACCAGATTATTGAGCTTGAAAAGGAAAACCATAGCCATGAAAAAAGGTCGTAAGGGTTGCAGGTCTTAATTCAAATTTTTGGGGAATTCCTCACAGAAATGATTCTAAATCAAGAACAAGAATGCTTTGGGATGATCCATTATCTTTCATACCCATCAGAGCTATTCTTGTATGTTGAGAATGAATGATATAGAATGTCAACATCAGACAATCTTTAAAAGGGTAAAAAAAGTGTTTTTTTTTTAGCAAGGTTGGATATCCAGTCAACTTTTAGATTCTTGGCAATTAGTCCAAGGGCCATTAACCTATTAGACTCTGAGATTGACTGTCAATACTGTTTTGATTGATGCCTCCTTAGGGGCTACTGTCTGCCATTCACTTATTTAAAATGGTATCATGGGTTTGTGGATGGGTCATTAAAAAGAATTTGGAGTATAGAATTTGATCCATTACATAGATAATGTTTTATTAAAAAGGATTTGTGATTGTAAAGTATGACCCATTGCCTAAATGATAATTTATTTATGGGATCAAAAGATACTCAGGTATGTGGAGATTTACTTAACGTCTTTATATCCTTTACAAACTTGTATGGTTTTCCACTGCAAAAGAAAAAACAGTATAACCAACTAAGCAAATTACTTTTCTATGAATTTTAATTGATACAGTTGAAATTGAATTTAAGCTTCTAGATGAATTGCTAATTAAATTAATGATGAACATAATTTTATTTAAAAAAGAAAGTCTGGTTAAAAAAAACAAAAAACAAAAAAGACAGCCACTGATATGTTTACTTTTTATTCATGGATTTATGGCAGTGGGTCATATATTTTCCAAGACGTTTTTGTTTTGTACGTTTCGTCTCAGCTTTCCGTATTTATGTATAAAAAGTCACTGTTTGTTTTTTAGATTGCATTATGGAAGACTAATTTATTAGCAACAATTTAATTAATGCATAAATTATATGTATGCATTAAGTATATGGGCTTTAAAATTATTTTAATTTACTAAGAGGTGGGATAACGCTCTTTTGAACAGGTGGTTATCTCTAGGCTATGGCAAAAAAAAAAAAAACTGATATGAAATTAGTCTAATAGTTACTTACCAAAGTGTGAATTATTAGGCATTTAAAGTGAATCCAAAGTGACATTTAGATTTGAAGCCAGAAAAGATGCCACAGGCACTAAGCACATAGATGGTTAATGAAGTCCAGTCAAGGTTAAAAGAAGTTGAGATAAAGTTCATGACCCCAAGATCAGTGATTGGGCAGCAGGGGGACAGGTATCTGGGCAGTTGTAGTGACACAGCTGTTGCTGGGGACAGGAGCTGACTGAGGATTGGCTGCTGGTAGCAAGCCAGCAAAAGAGAGGGAAGCCAGGTAAGAATAAAAGGAGGTGAGTAAGGGATTCCCTGCCAGCTGTTCGTGACAGGAAGGGAGAAGCTTTGCGGACCCCGTCCACCCTCCCCTATTTGTTTAAAGTTGTATAAGTAATGTTGTGGTTTTTAGAAGCTTGGGGGCAAAGTCATCCTCAGGTTCAAGTTCTGATGATGGATATTGTTGAGTGGTGGTGTTAAAGGCGGTCAGGTTAGATATGACTGACTGACACTAAGTGATGGAAAATAAAGTAAAGTTTTTGTGAAGTGAAGTGAAAAGTTTGAAGTTAAGTGAAAAGTTTACCTAACATGTTACCGTTATCAAGTTTTGGTGTGTGCCCCAATTTGCAAGCTTTAATAAAAAAACACAGCCAAGCCCATTGAAATAAAATAAACGGTGTCTGTGTTTATTGTGTGGTCTAAGTTATTTATGCGAATTATTGCCTACCAGACATATAGCCAAGCTGAAATACAATAGAGAATGAGTAATACTTCAATGCAAAGTTTAGACTTTGTGTGGGCGGCGGGCCTTAAATATGGCGGAAAAGTCTCATGTTGTAGTAACTTTAAAAAAAAAAAACACGTGGACTGGATATGTTATTTTATATACAATATTTGATTGCTGGGATATTTAACCAAGCTATTATTCTTTATTCTTATTATACACTTGAGTTGACAGGGAGGAGAGGTTGTCTAGAAATACTTTGGGAATTACTCTGAGACAACTAAGTATTTTTTTTCCCATAGATTTATAAGTGGTGTAAATTTGTGAAAAAAAAACAAAACATGATTTCATTTGTAAGTCAGGGTGGTCCCCATGGTTGGTAGCTATGGTTGTAATGTTTAAATTCTAAATGGTAAAGGGTTATAGGTATATCCTATTAGACTTCACTTGACAGGGATATCTTTTTACAGTTAACTGGGGGACACAAATAAATCTTTAATCTTTAATTATTTTATGTTATCTCAAGTTTTAAATGGCTGTGTGAGGTTTAATTGTTTCAGAGATTTCGGGCATTAAGTTACAGGATTGTTGATTGAGTTGGTAGGGAGTCTATCAGATATTGGTAGTTCTCAGTTTGAAAGTTTATTATTTAAAGCTGCATTTAATGTAGCCTTTTTTGGTGCCTTTCAAATACGTGAACAATTTCAAAACTAAATTTATTTTGACAAGGCTTCAGGATTCAAAGGTTTTACTTGGCAAACATTCAACTTGCCAAGTAAAATGTTTAAATTTAAAGCAGATCATCCAAGTAAGAGGTCTTGATTGTGTCAGTACCTGTGGGTACATAAATATGCAAATGAAAGCTTTGATGGTAAATATTTCAGTTAGCCCAAAACTAAATTAAAAATAAAATAAAATGCTTTTACAAAAAGAGTTATTCTCTAATCCAGGAATTGCGAAATTTTGACTGGCATTCAGCCAAGGGATGATGCCCAAATTTGGACAATACTGATATTTCTAAAACAGAATGGAAACTTCCACTGCAGTGATATCACTAAAGGCCAGAAAGAGCATAGGCACCCAAGGGACCCAGGTAAATGTGAAACCATTAAAAAATACCCGTATTTTCCGGCGTATAAGACGACTGGGCGTATAAGACGACCCCCAACTTTTCCAGTTAAAATATAGAGTTTGGGATATACTCGCCGTATAAGACTACCCCTCTTCCAATGCACACCAAATAAAAATTAGCCATGATGTACCGTGAGCAGACAGAGCTACACTGCAAGACATTAAATAATGATAATTTGAAATAGCATTTAAAGCCCAGGTATGTGCCAGGCTGTTTGGGCATATAATCCATGCCTGCTGGTCTAGCACACAGGAGGCTAATTGCGATATATTCTTTTTACTCCCCCCCTCCATTCTTTTTACTCCCCCCTTCCATTCTTTTTTACTCCCCCCTCCCCCAATCCTCCCTACATTCTTCTCACCTCCCCTTCCCTGTGCACTTCCTTTCAGTCCGGCCGGGAACAGGTAACTGAATCTCCTGTACCGCGCAGTACCCGGACCGACAGGACGAAGAGGAGCTCGGCCACCCACTCTGCACAGGGAAGGGGAGGTGAGAAGAGAGGCAGTGCGGCAGCCGTCTGAGCCATATAGACCCTATACCCGGCGTATAAGACGACCCCCGACTTTGGAGAAGATTTTACAGGGTTAAAAAGTCATCTTATACGCCAGAAAATACAGTAGTTTAATTCTTTATTGTAATAAAGCACAAGGAAGCTTTCTGTAATGGTTATGGTGCTTAGTGTGTACCTTTGCATTTATGTAATGTTTAATTATTTACTCCTGTTCCTGAATCTTATCTAATAACAACTGTGACTTTTCCATTGTTTGTTGCTTGGATTGTGTTTATACATCTATTAATTATTAGTAGTAGGTTGTGTCATCTTAACCCATGTGGGTATCAGACCGGTATATGGCATATGGTTTTCAATTAATTAGATAAATACAGTTGCAAGAAAAAGTATGTGAACCCTTTGGAATGATATGGATTTCTGCACAAATTGGTCATAAAATGTGATCTGATCATCATCTAAGTCACAACAATAGACAATCACAGTCTGCTTAAACTAATAACACACAAAGAATGAAATGTTGCCATGTTTTTATTGAATACGCCATGTAAACATTCACAGTGCAGGTGGAAAAAGTATGTGAACCCTTGGATTTAATAACAGGTTGAACCTCCTTTGGCAGCAATAACTTCAACCAAAGCAATAACTTCAACCAAAGTTTCCTGTAGTTGCAGATCAGACGTGCACAACGGTCAGGAGTAATTCTTGACCATTCCTCTTCACAGAACTGTTTCAGTTCAGCAATATTCTTGGGATGTCTGGTGTGAATCGCTTTCTTGAGGTCATGCCACAGCATCTCAATCGGGTTGAGGTCAGGACTCTGACTGGGCCACTTCAGAAGGTGTATTTTCTTCTGTTTAAGCCATTCTGTTGTTGATTTACTTCTATGCTTTGGGTCATTTTCCTTTTGCAACACCCATCTTCCGTTGAGCTTCAGCTGGTTGACAGATGGCCTTAAGTTCTCCTGCAAAATGTCTTGATAAACTTGGGAATTAATTTTTCCTGATAGCAATCCGTCCAGGCCCTGACGCAGCAAAGCAGCCCCAAACCATGATGCCCCCACCACCATACTTCACAGTTGGGATGAGGTTTTGATGTTGGTTTGCTATGCCTTTTTTTTGCCACACAGTGTTGTGTGTTTCTTCCAAACAACTCAACTTTGGTTTCATCTGTCCACAGAATATTTTGCCAGTACTGCTGTGGAACATCCAGGTGCTCTTGTGCAAACTGTAAACGTGCAGCAATGTCTTGTTTGGACAGCAGTGGTTTCCTCTGTGGTATGCTCCCATGAAATCCATTCTTGTTTAGTGTTTTACGTATTGTAGATTCGCTAACAGGGATGTTAGTATTTGCGATTGACTTTTGTAAGTCTTGAGCTGACACTCTAGGATTCTTCTTCACCTCATTGAGCAGTCTGCGCTGTGCTCTTGTAGTCATCTTTACAGGATGGCCACTCCTAAGGAGAGTAGCAGCAGTGCTGAACTTTCTCCATATATAGACAATTTGTCTTACCGTGGACTGATGAACAGCAAGGCTTTTGGAGATACTTTTATAACCCTTTCCAGCTGTTAGGCTTACCTCCAAACTAGCTGAAGGCTGGACCGCTTGGATGTCCTGGTTCCCGAGTGTGGAGAGAGGGAAGCGCCGCTCTGTTCAGCATAACATAAGAATCTGCTAATATAAAGCAATCCCACTAGCTATAGTACAGCTAGGATACCCTTGTTCCCACAAAACGAGGCTGCGATTTGAGGGTCAAAACGAACTGGGTTTAATGGCACACAGACATCGCTATTAATGCAAAACCCAATGTCCAGGGACCGCCCCCTGTGGACCTGATGGGATACAGGGACAATACAAACAGTTGACCAATGGCATTATAGTGTATCGTTTGAAATGGTCACAGCCCAGCTTGGAGATAATGACTCTAACGGATATGGCAATTTAATTATCTCCAAGCGCCCAAAATCCCACGTGTTATTGTAACAGGTAAAACAGTATAAAAATACATAATTGTAACATTTTAATAGACACATTTTATATTCTACCATTCGTTGGATAGCCCAGATCTGAGCGCAGCAGATAGGCGAATAGCGCTCAGATCGCACGAACGGTATAGCCAGTCTTTAACATACAAAGTCCTTTCGTGCCTTTTTGTCCTGAACACGAGATGGCGGCCATGTTTTCTGGTGGTTGAATAGAGAGCGGGACCTGGCCCTAAAACCCCTGGAGTGAGTAACGGATAAACAGTTGCGCGAATATCGCTCAGTGGATGGTTGTCCCAGCCCTTCGTGAGCCGAACAGAGACCGTCATGAAGGGGGGTACTTAGCTTGCGGTTAACCGCAGACCCAATGTTCTAATTGGGGCCACACACCTGAGTGTAGGTGGTCCTCGTTTGGGAGTCTTTTGGGAGTTTCAGTTCGGTGAATTATTATCCGAACGAGGCCACCCTGAGGCAGTCAATTAGGCTTGTGGTTAACCGCAGAGCGCAGCTTTCCGGTGGTCAATTGGAAGCACACCCCGCTTGTAAGGTGGTCGGCCGTTTGGTTGTTTCAGAGGTGAAAGAGGTTAAGTGGCGGCACACGCCAAGGGCCGGATGGTCTTTGTTCGTATGCCCGAATACATAGTCCTGACTGTTCATGTAATGTGTTTATACAGTAATACTACCGAAACAGAGTATATGGTAAAATAAAACAGGGTAATCCAGTAACTATCTCTAGAGCGCCCGTAACACTAGCTTTATGCAAGTCAACAATTCTTAATCGTAGGTCTTCTGAGAGCTCTTTTGTGTGAGGCATCATTCACATCAGGCAATGCTTCTTGTGAAAAGCAAACCCAGAACTGGTGTGTGTTTTTTATAGGGCAGGGCAGCTGTTACCAACATCTCCAATCTCATCTCATTGATTGAACTCCAGTTGGCTGACATCTCACTCCAATTAGCTCTTAGAGATGTCATTAGTCTAGGGGTTCACATACTTTTTCCACCTGCACAGTGAATGTTTAC